GTTGTTGTTGTTGTTGTTGTTGTTGTTGTTGTTGTTGTTGTTGTTGTTGTTGTCGTTGTCCAAAGACGTGCCGGTGCGACAACCACCCCGGAGCAGACCAACTTATTAGATCTATCACGTCCGCTCCTACTGAAAATAACCCGGCTATGCCATCACGTCTTCACACCTTACCTCCTCCCTCCTCTCCCCTCCCCTCCCCTCCCTCCCTCTCCAAATATCTCACCCCCTCAAGCTTATCACACTTTTTTTTTTTTCTAACAAACCTACAAATGTATAACCTCACAAAATCGCAAACTCAGATCTTACAATAATCCTACAGCACAACACCAATAGTTGGTTTGGTAAGATTGAAGAATACCGGACCAGCGGACTGACTTTGCCTATGTCTCAACCTTAGGAATTCATGATTTTCCCCAGTTTTTAATATCTCTCAATGGTGAATCTCGGACCGGTTGATCTAGATCTAGATCTATTTATTACAATTTTGTCAGGGGGGAGACCCCCCTCCTCCACCCCAATCACCCGCCCCACATTCTCGCGCAATAATGTATACGAGTGGTCCGGTATTCTTCAATCTTCCCGTTGGTTTATGAATGTGAATACGATGTATAATAATTTTAGTTAAAACACCCCCCTACCTCAATTTACTTTGACTACCCGTGAAATGTCTGTTCAACGTGTCGCATATTTTATAAGTGACGCAGCATCGGTACCGTCAATCGTAAAGCCTTCACGAAACCAGTTTTAAGCCTGCATCGACCTCTATATTTCTATTCACGGCAAAACGTTCTATGAAAGACCAAGCCAGATTTCGCCAGCAGTTTTGTTTACCAAAAGCATCGCGGGGCTAAAACACAAGGAGCAAACAATTCCTCCTGATTTGACAAACAAATTTCACTCTCGCAAAAAATATCAACAACAATTTTTAAATAATATTTTGTTTTCCTTATTTGGTTTTCGTTTTAATTTCTTATTTCTTTTGATACATGAATTTCGTATTTAGTCACCGACTTCTTATCTCCCCCAAAAAACCCAAACAAACAAAAAAAACAACAACAAACAAACAACAAAACAATAATAATAAAAATAATAATAATAATAATGAAATAAAATGAAATAAATAAATGAATTTAAAAAAAGTAGAAATAATAGATAAATGAATAAAAAAGAATGAAAATTTAAAAAAAACAACAACCCCAAACCAATGCAGAACGAACAAGGAGAACAAAATAAAAACCAGAAGACACAAACAAGCAAACAAAAATGAGGGTATAATCAACTACGTTAAGTTATGTAAACAGAAAACCTAAGCCTTATTGTTCCTCTTACCTCAGACGAAAAATCCACTGTGGTGAGTCGGGCAGAGTGGGGGTGGTCTGTCTACACAATATCCATCCCCGAACACCGTCACTAGATTCGAACTACAACCGTTCCGCTCTCTAGGCGCGCGCGGTATACGTCATACAACACCACCACTAATCCAAAAGGCAATCCGGGAATGAGTCAGTGAATGAACTGTACACAACAACACAGTAGTAGATTATAGCAGCAACCTCCTGGGAATGTGTGCCAAGCAGCAGTGTGTGTCCGGCACGAAACACTACCAGGAAATAGATGTAATATCTACCCCTCAAAACAACACCGACCACACACACTCTGAGACTGGTCACCTCCTCTCCTCAGATCAGACTCTCCACATTCACAAGCACCACCACCACCGACGACACACAATCCGACACAGACTGCGGAGAGCTCAAGACACGTCCAGAATTCCATAAACCGCCGGCGCTGCCGCCAATCGACGTCAAACTGCTACCAATAAATGTTGGGAGAATATTTTCGAGTCGGTCTGAAGGACCCGTTAGGTGTCGCAGAGTGCCAATATTTGGGCGCATCGCGTCAAAAAACAGATCTGTGTTCCGTTGTTCTCCATTCTTGTGAACGTGGCTGGGATATTGGGTCTAGTTGGAGCAGTCACATGACAGAATCATATTCTTGAATATACGCAGATCTGAAAAAAATGTGTGAATTAAGTTCATCTGAAAAAATATTATTAAAAAAAGGTTAGGAAATACGTCTCTCTAAAAGTTGTGAGTTTAAAAAAAAAATTCAATTCTAAATCATGTACACATTAAAAAAATAGTGTGCCTTTCTTTTACGAATGTTTGATACCACGTAAATACCTGTCTATAGAATTTTGCATTTAAAGATCTGCGTGTTGACTTATTCTATTTTCCATTTGATTTTTACCCCCCCCCAAAAAAAAAACAAAAAAACTCTTCACATTATAACTATTTTTATGAATACATGGATGACTCG